GAAAGGAAAGGAAAGGAAAGGAAAGGAAAGGAAAGGAAAGGAAAGGAAAGGAAAGGAAAGGAAAGGAAAGGAAAGGAAAGGAAAAAGAAAAAGGAGGTGATGGGGAGAGCACTTCACGGAAGAAGATCCTTATGAGATAAGACAGAACTCTTGTTTTTCCCAGCAAACAACTACAAGCCATTATTACCGCCCGCCAAATTATTACCCCTCTGTCAAGAATTAGACACAACAATCAAAGTAATCAAGGGCATGTCTAATGCACTGTAACATTTTCAATGCAAAGTTTGTTTTCTTTCTGCCCTCGCGGTAGAGCCTGTAATTAACCCGTTATGTAGAACGATGCCAAACAAAAGCCTAATTGAGGCTGGCTTCCCGACTTGCGCAGGTTTGGAGAGGGTGAAAGCAAACTCAAGAGCTGCGGGCCTCGGGCGGGCGTCGCGCGGGGTCCCGCCTCCGTCCTGCTCTGAGTCAGGGGCTGCAGAGGGTAAGGCGCCACATTACACACGGTTAGGGTACTTCGCTTTCGTATTTATTAAGTTGTCAGATACTGAAAATGGCATTACACTCGCGCATACAAATGAATCGACTTTCCAGAGTCAAAGAAAGATCCTGGCGTGGGGAATGGGAATGGGAATGGGAGGGGTAAGATCCTGGCGTGGGGAATGGGGATGGGAGGGGTAAAGAGAGAATGGAGTGGTCCTAACCCTAAAGGAACAAGAGGCCAGTTTGATGCAGGGCCCTGTGCTTAGCCCTGGATTCTGTCGCACGCAGGTGAATCTTTACCAAACGCGGCGTGGGTGGCAGTGTCTGATTCAGAGCGCTTGGCCCCCCGCCCCTCCGGAACTACCAAAGCCTGTAGGGAGCCCGCAAAGGGAAGAGTCAGGTCGGTCACTCAAAAAAAAAAAAAAAAAAAAAAAAAAAAGGCGGTTCCCAAACGGTACGCTTTTCGCGTTTCTCCCTAACCAGCCACCCTTCTCAAGGGTTTGAAATTAGAGACGAGACCGGAGGGGGTGGGGGTGGGGGTGGGGAAGTGGAAGCGGGGAGAGAGGTAAGAAAATGCAGACACCTACAATTCTCAGAACTGCTGAGGGAGCCTTTCTTCTCTTGGTCTTTCCTCCCTTCTGCGCAAATAAAGCAGCATTTCTCAGTCAGCCACCACTAGTCTACAACGGCCATCCTTCACTGCCTAGGCAGAGGAGCCTCTTCAGCAAGAATTTATGTTTGAAATGTCGATAATTTCAATGACTCTAAGCTGAGACTTTGGTATGAAACACTTGACGCCAAGAAAATAAAACAGTGAATCCAATCAAAACCCTTTCTCAAAGAAACCTTCTTTCTTTTGGGATGGATGCAGGGGTAAAGGCAAAAGACAGGGCGGGGAGAGAGGAGGGGAAAAATGAGGCTGAAGAGAGAACAGCATCTCATTTTCAAAAATGCTGTAACATTATCACAGTTGAGAGCTAAAGGGCTTCTTCCAGCCAACTTTGATTCAACTATTGAAACCGAAACTTGCACACCCGACCTGAACTACTTGCAATACAATATCACAGCTACTGAACTGTGTGTCATTTTTAACCCAACTCACATGCAATCCTTAATTTCGGACATCTTAAAGACTTGCTTATAAACATATAAAAGAGGGACCCTGAATCATTGCGTTTATTTATTTATCTATGCCAAACGTTTATTAGTGAAATAGTCCTGAAGATATAATTCTACATATGGCGCTTTGATTTCACATAATATTTAAGAAAAAAAGACAAAACACATAAAATAAGACATATAATTCAAAGACCACGGTACAACCTTTATCTTTTTTTTTACTTCAGCAAACAAAAAAAAAGTCAAATGACATGAAAAGTGGCAAGTCTCCTGACAATAAATAATAAATTACTTTATAATTTTTGCAATGCAAGAGCAAACAAAAAAAAGTTTCCTTTTTTTCCTCTTTATTTCCAGAAAGAGCGAAAACAGTCATTTTAACCAATAACTATACACATCTTTGGGGGAAAAGTTCTTGGACAGACACAAGTCAAACACAATCCCGAGACGCTTGTGGCAAAATAGAGGTAACCTTGTTGCAATGCTTTATAAGTTGGTTTTTAAATATGAATTCAAAAACCTTTAAAGTCGCTTCAGACTTCTTGATAGAGGATGGATCTCAAAAAAAAAAGTAAAGAGAAATAAAAAGAAAGGGGAAATGGGAGAAAAGGCAAAAGTAAAAGAGAAACCAGCTACAGGGCAAGCTAAAGAGACCCAGAATTTCAATTAATCCCTTGTCAAAGTCAACTAAAAACATAGCAAACCAACGCAGCTCCGCCTTCCTGAAAGGACCCTTTCAGCCACTAAGGCCAGCTTCTTCCGCTCTGTGCTGGAGCTCCTGTTTGGCAAGGCAATGACCAATATAGAAACAGCACCATTCAGAATAGGGTGGACTAGAAAATTCTCTATTTCTGCTTTTCCTCTAGATGTGCAGCGAAATGAAAACGCTTTTTTTTTTTTTTGAGATCCTTGAATATAAATCCTCTACGTTTTAAAAACGTCTTGTTTTATTATTATTCTTTTCAGTACTCCTAAGGTCATTGAATAGCATATGTTGGGCTTGGGGTCTTGTTTGTTTTTAATTCTAGTAAAACCCCATGATTGTCTTCACAGTGTTGCTACCATATCACCTAGTCATTAAAACAGACTTCGTGCACTTCATGGAGCATTCGTTTCTTGATTCAGTTTTCATTGACTGGGTCGTTAAATACTTTAATTTCGGAGTTCAACATAATTTCCCACTTTCTCCAACAGGGAAAAAAAATACATCTGAATGACTGTTCCTCATGCCTCAATAGGACTGGCTACCATGCTGTTGGGTGTATCTGGGAGTTGAGAGGACATCGATGCTACTTCACTGCCAGTGGAATTAGAGCCTGGTCCTCCTTCTGAAAAATTGACCTGCATGGAAGGTTGAGAAGTAAATAAAGGAGGCTTCAAGAGTGTCCAGCGAGACATAAAAGTATGATATTGTGTATGCATGTACTAGGCCCTGTAAATAGACAGGTAGGTACATCAACAAAGACATGCTTGTCTATAATAGAACTTTAATAGGCTGAAGGGAGGCCTAGGAGAAGCACTTGAAATCCTCTCGCTTTCTCCATCTTCCTAGAGATCTCTCTTTGAACTCCAGCTGAATTCCCAACATTATGTCATATTAAATTATTTAAAAGCAAATGTGTTTCCCACTGTAAAGTGGCATCACGACTCTCCCACGAAGGCTCAAAATAAAATTAGCCTGCTGGCTACATGTAGCCCTGGGAGCAGGAAAGTTCTTTAGACATCAAAGCCTTTCTTCTTCAGTGTGGCTGGAGAATCAACGGAGGTTCCCTGGAACAATGACTAGCTCTTTAGAAGGCTCACAGTGTGGTCTCGTTGTCTCCTCCTCCCCAATTACATGAGGGGACCCATACAGTATATACCATCAGTTTATAAAGACGTGGTCCTCTACAACTCCACTGCTCTGTAAATGCCCCACCCCCCACTCATACCTCCCACCAGAGCCTCAGATTCCATTCTGCTGTTCTCACCTGACACTCGGGTTTCAGGAGGTACCAATTCTTGGCTGTCTTGAAGGCTCTCTCTACCGTCTTTCAATTATTCAAAATTTGCCCAGACAGTGCTTCATATGGACAGCAACTCGTTGTATTGAAAATGAAATTTCCCCGCTACTTCCAGAATCTATCTTCTTTTCTACTCTATTAAACTTTCCTCTTGAGAGGTCAAGGGACTTCTCAAATTTGTCTGCTCACTAGACTGGCCCATTTACACACACAGCCTGGAGCCAAGCCCTTTTAACCACTTGCCTCTGGCCAATCACCCTTATAACTGTTGACACAAGAAAGCAAATGTCCTCAGGGCACAGGCGAGGAAAAAAGAAAAAGAAAAAAGAAAAAAAAAACTATCCTCAACTGATGCATTAGCCTTGTTTCTAAAGAAAGGAGTGTTTTTAGCATACAGCTTCATATTTAATAACACAGGATCTGTGGGGCTGATTATATTCTAAGGGGAAGAAAAAACCCTAAGTATTTGTACCATATTGAGAAGGATATATTTTTAACATGTTTGTTTATCTTAACCTTTTTTTTATCTTAACCTTTTATAGGCAAAAATTAATTAGCCGTCATCTATGGATGAATATGTAAAACACTTGACAGCAAAGACAGGATTCCACAAATTAAATATACATTGTCTCTGATTGACAATGCTCATGTTCCTTTTGGTATACATGCCACATTATATATAATTATGTCATAACCAAACTCGTTGATTTTTAAAAATGTTTAAGAAGTCCTATACTTTAGATTAAGATATACTGTGAAAGAAGCACAGCAACAATAAATATCAATCAAACTATTTGAATATGCATTCTCTTGATTGACACATATGAAAATTGTGTTCAGTCAACTGCCTGCTGCTTATGGATAGCAACGGTCTAGCTTATTATTATACTGAATGCATAGTATAATTAATTCTACTTGAACCTCTCACTAGATACAGACAAAGTAATACACTTACTGATTGCTGATCCAAATGCCAAGGTGATCTCTGAAGTCCTTGTAATTTATAACCGGCTAAGATGTGGGATACTGCCACCGTTTGCACCTCTGCACACATAGCTACTTAGGCACCATGAAGTTCATCCCACAAGACGAGCCTCATTTGCAGACAGTCGCCCTATGTAGTTACATTATGCTGTCTTGTTTTTAAACAAAGATTCATAAGAGATGTACTTCCTTTGTATTTGCTTCCCTCCTCCTCACCATCATTCCTTCTTGCTTTCTCCCCAACACTGGCACAGGGACCCTGCACCCTCCCCCAGTGGATCTTTCAGTGTGTCAAAGCAGAATCTCCTTTCTGTTGGGAATTCCGCCTTCTCTGTTTGGGAGCTGACACTTACCAGTTGCTGAAAAGCCGGCTGATCTATGTCACTCTGCAAGGCAAAGTCGCTCAGTACTTTCCAGGGTGGCTGGTAACTTTGCACTTCTACTGGGTTAGCCTGTAAGCCACCATCGTGTCTCTCCGGACTAGCAGCCACCATGGGAGTTCCTGTCATCCCTTGGATATTCTGTGAATAACCCCCCCCCCATTGCAACATGTTAATGAGCACACTCCCTCCCTCCATTGTCTTGTATGTGCTAAGCAAATACACCCAAGTATTATCTTATCTATATAGTGGCCCTGTATTGACTCAGTTAATCTGCTGCACCTATGGATATTAGTTAGAGCTCAGTTTTGTTTTTCTTCTCCTATGTGCTGGATTATTTGACTGGCTGAGCATTTAGTAAAACAATTCGGCTACAACTCTCATCTTTTCCCTTCCCCTTCACAGTTTAGCCCCAAACCCCTCCCGAGTCTGCCTTCATAAAGCCACAGCCTCCCACAGTAGAAAGCCGAGGTCCAACCTGGCCTCCATCAGCCTTCTGACTCTGGTTTTCTAAGTAGTTTGGGCTAGTTGAAAACTATCTTCAACCACCCACTCTTCAGTGGGAACCAGCCCCTACCCCATCCCTCAAGGCTTTGGGGAATGGCTGCTTCTGTGTTATTATGCACTCACTGAGCACCCTTGCTCAGTCCTGGCCTGCCTGCCAAGTTTAATGACAGCAGATTTTATGGCATTTAAAAATAGGGTCGAGGTAGTAAAAAAGGAAGGAAGGAGAAAGAAACCCTTCAGCTTAACTTAAGCACAGGGTAGGGAGAGAAAGGAGAGTTTTGCCCAAAATAATAGTGCCAAAGGCTGGGAGGAAGCTTTGGGCTCCACCTGAAGCAGTGGATGGATTATCTGCCCAGGAACCTTGAAGGTCTCTCACATCCTCAAGAACAGTGGCAGACTTCTCCAAGTGTTGGGATGAGGCCAGAATGATGGGCTGGCTGTTAAAGCCATTGAATCATGTTCTAGATCAGCACCCAAAGTGTTGTCCTTTACAATACTGGCAACTCTAGTGATCTCAATGCTTGCAAAACCTGAGCTGAGACCTCACTGCCACCTACACTGGGAGGGAACTATGAGGCCTTCTTGATGCTAGGTGCAGTTGATGGTGAATACCAAGAACCTCTTTTGGAGCCAGCAAAGGATGGAGGCGCTGATCAGATCTCTGGAGCTTTAAACAAGCCAGCTTTCAGCCATCAGTAGCCAATGTGCTCTATACACCTGGGTTTTGGTGGAAGCGGGAGGCTCTCCTTTGTCTGGGCTCCTTGTTGGCGGTGCTCTGCTGGGTACCAGTCCACCAGTTCAGGAGCACGCCAACCCGATCACCATCCCTGGCTTGGCCTCGGGGCTACTCACAGTTTTGTCGTTGGGCTGCTGTTGCTGGAGCTGCTTCATCATGATGCTGCGCTTCTTGTCCTTGCACCTCTTGTTTTGAAACCAGACTCGGATCACTCGGGGGCTGAGGCCGGTCATCTCCACTAGTTGCTCCTTCATGAGTGCATCTGGCCGAGGGTTGGCGGCATAACAGGTCCGCAAGGTGTGCAGCTGCTTCTCATTGAGCACAGTCCGCACGCGGGTGGTCTTCTCAGGCTGCTTGTGGACGTGAGGCCGCAGAGCTGGCTGCCTAGCTGAGATAGGCTCGGCTGGGATGGGGGGGAAGGAGGGGGGAGGTAGGGCAAAGAAGCCTTGTGAGTAGGCAAGGTCACTCTCAGCTGTCACCAACCCGGTCCACTCCCCACCCAGCCTGAGCTCAGCACACCAGGAAGCTCAGAAAGAGGGTAAGGAGAGAAAAGAAATCTTGCTCCTTAGTCTATTGATGACAGTGCCGCGCAATGGGGGAGGGGAAAGATGCGACCCCTGCCCATACTTGGGTCCCTACAGAATTAGCCAAAGGAAGCCGGTGGTGTCTCCAACTGCATCAGAGGCATTATTTTTTAACCAGTATTTTCCCTTCTTCCTCCCTTTTCCTCAAAACCAGAAAAGCACAGATTATCCTGAAACCCCCACCTCCAGACTTCCCCTTCCGGGTAAAAACCACAAAGGGTACCTGAAAATAAAACGCAGAACACCCCCAGTGACAACCAGAGACACCACAGGGCTGAGTGTCTGCGATTGAAAGTCAGAGAATTTTTCCAGAAAGCCTTGAACTTCAATTCTACGGGACAGTCCTCTTTTAGAAGCTAAAATAAATTGCTGTATTTCGGCTATCCGAAAGGGCCCCAGTCTTTCTTAGTATTAAATCAGCGTGGGATGTTCCTGAGACCAGCTGACCCCAAGCAAATGAAAACTGAAACTCTGTTGAACTGTCTGAGCTTGAGACAAACGGCTGCTGGGGAATACCCTTCCCTTCTCTCCCAGGACTTCGGCCTCTTCTGCGTTTCTCATCCTTGGCTTTGCCCCATGCCTGCCAGTTAGAACCCCCCCCCCCAGAACAGAATTCTCAGAGCAGCTAGAAAGGGGTGAGCAGGAGTGGGGGGGGGTTGGAAGAACGCTGTCCTTTTCCTCACCTCCAGCATTTAGTAGGAACTGATGACTTAATACTAAATGGGAGGGAGGTATAGAGCTCTGCCTCTGGCTGGAAGGCAGGTAGGAAACAATGTCCTGCTGTCTCACCGCCTCGGTTCTAGCCAGCCTTTATGTTTCCACTTTCCTTTATGGGCTACTGGTTCTCTGATCTGGATGGTACAAACCCACACCTTGCACGACCCCCTGGGATCAGGCCAAACACCTATGGGGTCAATTCAGAGCTACAGCTACAGGCTTAGAGACGAAATTCTCACCAAATCACATAGAATGAATGGCTTAAAGAGGCAGGCTCCTTTTAAAAGGCAATTACTGCAGATTAGGCTGTTGACAGTTTTAAATTACAGCCCTGTGCGGTGCTGCTGTTGCCGACACTGTATCTTTTAGGGACCTGTTTTCTGACCAAAACATAAAAATAAAATTTAAAAAACCTTTTGGATTGGAGAGTAAATCTCACAAATATATATATATGCGGGAAGCTAAATGCCTTGGGGCTGCTGAAGCTACCTTCACCGGGCTAGGGAGGAAACTCCTGGAGACCCAGGACTCCACCCCTTTAATTAGGCAGCAGCGAGGAGAAAACCTGGCAGAGAGCTGAAGCCCATTTTCAGTAAGCCATGGGTTGGAGGCCAAAGTAAAGCTGACGGTATTGTTTGGGCTTGTGTATACATGTGTGCACAAGTGGGCTATGCTGTGTACCCAAATATAGCCAGACATGTAGATGTGCGCTTGTCCATTCAAGGTAGACGGTGAGTGTTTGGAAACTTGCTAGAAAGGCGGCGATGAGCACGTGCTGTTTATTGCAGGTCACATTCACAATCACCCTGTGGCCCCCAGGTTGCTAGAAGGCAGCGTTTCGGCTTAGCCCCCACTTGCCTTTCCCCGGCTTCCCTCTGCGTTGAGAAGTACCTGCCATTTGCAGCGGCCGCGCTGGATGCAAGGGGCTGAGAGGGTCTCCAGCTCCCAGGCTGGCCCTCTCCACCACGTCGTGGTCCGCGCGGCAGAAAAGCCCATCCTCCCGCAGCGCAAATTCGTCTCCCGGGATGAGCTGTCGGCTGCAGGCTACACAGCGGAAACACTCGATGTGGTACACCTTGGAGCGGGCGCGCATCACGAAGTCGTTTTTGCTGAAGCCTATGCTGCATTTGGCGCATTTGATCCCGTACAACCTGCATGAAACGGTCCCCCGGCGTGGGAAGAAAACCACAAGAAAAGAGGGTGACTTCAGGCATGCTCTGGCCCAAGATGGCCAGCGACCCAGGCCATAAACCTTGACCTGCCCCCGGGGGACGTGGGGGGGGGGGATCAGTGGTAGTAAAGTTGAACAGAGTATAGAAACAATCTTCTCTCTTCACCTCTCCTTGTCTCCCTCCCTCTCTTCCTCCCTTTTCCTCGGTCTCTTTCATCCCCAATCTCCCACCCCATACACACATTGACAAGAGGAACCTTTAAGAGTAACCTCCGTGTCTGTCTCAGTTGGTACCTCTTAATTCAGACACCCAGCCCAGGGAAATTTTATTGAGGGGTTCTAAACCTGGAGGAAGACTCTGGTTACCAGCCCCAGGGTTATTCTTGCACATTCTAGCTGGGAGGAATTCAGGGGACATTGGTTACCAGTAACCCCATTGCTTTCCATTCTCTACCCCTCAATTTCTACTACTAAAAACATTTCTGAAATTGCAACGACAACAAAAAGGTTGGACTGGGGACTGTCACCCTCTACTCCAACTATGGACACGCAATTACAAAACAGAATAACAAAATGAAGCCTTAGAGGGTTTCCAGATTCCCAATACCAAAGGCCTTTCAGTATGTATCCAACTGAAGAATTTCCACAGGCCACATGTTAATGGAATGTTCCCTCTCTATTCGTCCTCTTTTATTTAAAAAACCAGCTTCTGTTCCCTCCCTCAGTCTTTCTTAGGTTCCTGAAGCATCTACCTCTATTTCAGTTTGCCTGAGAGCCAACGTGAGCATGACAAATGGAAAACAAAACAAACAAAACCCAAAACAACACACACACACACACACACACACACACACACACACCCTCACTTCTAAGATCTTCCTCCTTGCTAACCTTTCTTTACCGCCAGGCAGTTCTTATAGGTTCTCTCTACTGTTGCATTGCCTGGTTCCATCTACACCTATCAGCTATTCCTACACAGAAAGAAGAAAGATAGGACAGTATCCACACAAAGAAGGGGAGCATATTGCTCACCCAAGGGGAGAGCTTAAAATCAAAATGGTCACTCTGTCCTGCTTTTACAACTATAGAACCTTCAAGAGGGGTACACATGAGTGTTCTCTGATGGAAACACACACACACACACACACACACACACACACAGAGAGAGAGAGAGAGAGAGAAAATTGCAGAAAAGTAAAAGCAATAGAATTGCCAATGAGTTCGCTCAGCTGCAAATAGACAGATCCAGAATTAGGCAGGCTGGTGTACAACTGGGAGAACAGCAGCTGCTGAGGAGTAAGGATGCTTCTGGAGGCTTGGAGTAGGCGCTTCCTCTCCAGAGTTCCCAATGTACACTTCAGCCAAATAAACAATGAAGATGGCTTATTCGTCAGTGTTACAATGCAGATTTCAATGTTTTCCTTTCCCCTTCTGCCTCTCCATTGCAAGATCATCCATTTCATAGGATGAAGACCGGCTTTACTTGTGCCCAAACCATTTACAAAATCCCTCCCCTTTCCTGTATCCCACTTCCTCCCACTCCCCTCAGAGCATTAAAACAAAACAAAAGGAACAAACAAACAAAACCCTCCCTCGGGCAGACATTGTTTAGTATTTAGTTTCATCTTTCAAGTGTATACCCTCCACTCCGAGATTTAAAAGAGAAAACAGCTGAGCATTGTGGGAGCAGAAGAAAAACTGGTGACCAAGTTTTAAATCATAACTAAACTTTAATGAAAGTTCTCAGGCTCCAAAGCCTTCTAATGCCTAGAAAGGGCACTCGCCTGCATTGCGAATTTAAAATCGGCTCTATTTCTGCGATCACTAACCTAGGAGTATCTTGCTTTGTAGTAGGACTAAAGCATTTCCCTGCAGAAATTCTACTGCCTTTCGCAGGTAAAAAGTGGTGTTTCTAGCACATACACGGGTCAGAGAAAACTTGGAATCAGCAAAACCGTACAAGAAAAGCAAGCTCAGTTCTTCTGTGGGTTTGGTCTTGTCCCGTGGGGTGATTCCCTCATTTTATCAGTTACTGGAGTTTAATGTGAGAAAGGAAGCTGTTCAATTACCTAAATATACCAATTGTTCACAGACAGATGATGGGCAATTTGATCTGCTCTGTCTAATTCATCAGTCCAGATAAGATAAGAAAGAAAAGACAGTTAGATATCACCAAAGGGTTAATATTTAAAAAGACTAATTTTCCGGTCCTCCCCCCCCCCTTTTGTAAGAAATATTTTGGTTGGTTTTAAAATTTTCTACCAAGGGGGACTCATCCAAAATGTAAAGGGCGCAATGGTTGTGTTTGTTTTGCAAAAATCCTTTGCTGAGACTTTTGTCTATTTGATGGGCACTTCCAAAGAATTTTTAAGTCAGCGGTAAAACAGGAGAATAATAAATCAGATGCTAAACTACATAGTGGAAATAGATTTTTTTTAAAGTTTAAAGATCTAAACTTATTTGCCTTAATTTTGTTGGTGTTCTTAGAAGAGACATATGGAACAGGGAAATAATTTCCGCATCAAAAAATTCCAGGGGTCGTTAACAAACATTCACAACAAAATTTATGAAAGCTACCGTGACACCTCCTCACCCCCAGAGAAATGAACCACAGTTTAATTTTTGAAACACTTTTGCACACTGGACCCTCTAAAGCAAACACCCCGAGAAGACAAAGCCACATCAAATAGTAAACAAGAAGAGCAAGGAAATCTCAGAAAATAACGATGTGAAAATGGCATACCTGATATAATCTCTTTTACAGTAGGTTTTTCCATCCCTAACAAAGCACGTACAGCTCTCGTCCAAATACTGATTACACTCCGCACATTTCAAGCACGCTGCATGCCATTCCAAATCCGGAGAAACCCTCAGAATATACTGATCGTGAATTTGATTGCCGCAACCAACACATAGGGAAATCAGACGTTTTTCTGAAATGAAAATAAATACATGATTGACTAACCGTTTACTTCCTACAGAGATAAACACACTTTTAGTGTCGTTCTCTTATAGGGTGTACTCTGGAAGAATTTTTTTCTTCCTCCTTTTTTTTTTCTTAAAGAGTATTGCACTTAGGGGTGGTAATTGGAACGTGCCATCAAAACCTTGACTCGCTTTTTTAAAAAGGGAGGTGGAATATATGTAAAATGCAGATTTGAATAGTCTACATTTGTAAGCCTAGCACGCAATCAAACCCGCTCATTTTGTGTTTTCTCCCCTCCTCCCTCTTTGCTATAATCATTAGGGAAGATTATGGATAAGTCAAGTCAAAGAAAAGGTTTTGACTAGAAGCGTTAAACCAACGCTGGGATGTCTATATTTTCCGTGAAGCACGTTCTTCAATAGCACAAGGGATGGATATATTGTTAGAAGAGTAGACATCAATACAGTTGTCACTCGCTCTCTTTTGCAAGTCTAATGTTAATACATATCTGCCGGTGTGGTTTGTGCAGGCAGACCTTTGCTACATAATAACCTTCTCCAAGAGCCCCGGATTCCGGAGAAGGAAATCACCGCTAAGTACCAGGCGACTAGAGTTTGGGAGTGCTCACAGGCAGATTCAAACACAAGGTATGCTCAGTTTCCCGAAGATCGAAATCCACATCAAACATGCAAGCGTGACGACAAGGGAAACATAAAAAATAAATAAATAAAAACACAGAAAAGAAAACAATAACAGCAACAACAAAAAGGAACCACCGTTTTTCTTCTCCAGGTAGTGACTAGAAACCCAAAGAGCCCTGGCACCATTGCCGGAGAGAGAACCCCTTACCACAACAGCACAGCACATCGAGCCCCCCGCAAGGTAAAACAAACTCTTACTTTTTGGTGGATCGCCCATGTCTCCCATATCTGTAAGAGGGAGTAATGTCCACAGTGAAATGGTGGTTGGACAGTTGGTGAACAGCCCACAGAGAGGATGCTGGTGTTGTGGCTAGGTGGGAAACAGTGGACCCCGGGGTTGCCAAGGCTGAGGGAGCCGCTGGTCGGCTGCGCCGCGCCCTCGCCGATCCGGGAGTCCGATCTAAGGCGGCGGAGTCGGCGGAGCGGAGGCGCTGCGGCGGCGGCGGACTCGAGCGGCTCGGGGCACCTCTCTTCCTTATCTCTTACTCAAACTTCTCAGCTCCAACTCAGCTCCTTCGCCATTGGTCTGACGCAGTGCGCGGGGACGTCAGGCGAGCGCCTCGCCCATTGGCTGCCGGGCGAGCGGCGCAGCTGTTCTGATTATCATATTTCAGTCCCGGCGTCGCCGCGCGCCACTGCCTGCTCGGCGAGCCCGCGGGAGAGGATTAGGCCTCCCGAGGCCACAACACTCCCCGGGTTCCCGGTGGCCCCGTTCCCGTCCGCCGCCTCCTTGTCCTCAGCCCCTTTCCTGCGCCTTCCCGGCTGCGCCGCGTCCGGTCGCGCTACTCCTGCGCCCCGCGCTCCCCGGGTCCCCGCGATCCGCTGGCAGCGCTGTGTGCGGGTCTCCCTTTTCGGCCGCCGGTGGCGAGTGGCTGGTGGGTAGGTCCTTCCTGTGAACCTGGTCCCTCCCGGGCGCTAGGAAAGGGGGGTGGGGACTTGGAATCGGCAGCTGCCCACCCTTGGCTCCCACGCTGGCGCGCACAGCCCTAGGCTCCGCCGGCTTCGCTGCCTCCTGGAAGGGTGCGTCTCCTGGAGCTGGCAGCCCGTGGAGCGCTAAGGGACCAACCCAGTACGGGACGATTAAATCCAGAGGAAATGGTTTTTGTGGTTTTGTTTTTGTTTTTCACTGCAACCCTGTTGACCCCGTCACTTCCCAATCTCGGCTCTCCAAAGACTTGGGGTGGGAGGAAAGGGGCACTTCTCGCCCTAGCGGACGATCAGACTGGAAACGCAAAGGTAAAACGAAGTTATCTCCGCGGTCAGCCCCTTTCCTCCCGACCCGTGAGGTCTGCTATTCAGCTTAACTCTAGCATGAAAGAGTGTACTAACCTACAGTCAGAGCGCAGTCCCCGAAAGTTTACAACGCTCTCCGGGTCTATCTATGGGTCTCTTGTCCACTCTTTTTAAAAGCAAAGGTGCACCCTGCTCTTTGACGTTTTGGGAATTATAAGCGCAACTTTACACGACTCTCTAGAATTTTTTTTTTTTAAACCTGTGAGTCTGAAGGCCTGAGCAGAGTGGGTCTGTTGCAAAAGAAGAGTGACTCGCCTATTCCCCTTAACTGAGGTTAGCTTTCTAATTTGTTTCCTCTGGGGGAAGCCATCTGGGAGAGACAGACACTGGCTGCATCGCACCGGTAACTTTCGCCAATAATGTATTTTGTGATTCCTCAAATCGCTTACAGCCTTTCAAAGGCAGTTGTGAGGGGCCTCACAGACTCGCCCCACTTCTCCCAGAGCTTCTCCACCAGTCATTTCTTATCTAGAGAAACGGTTTTATCAAAGGGGGAGGGGGGACTACAAACACAAACAGAAGAAGGCTTCATTTGGTGTCTTGTTGCCCCCGAGAAGACCCAGGGGGTTGGGAAACCTCTCTTCGTATCTTTCACCAGATCTAACCCTTGATAAAACCTGTGAACCCTACCTAGGCCTCAGCGACTGAGTTAGAAGGCTTGTGAGTTTTCAGAGTACACACTCATGGAGAAAAAGCGGCTAAGAAGCATGAATGCATTTTCAGCCTGATCCTGTGGGAGCTTTCCTAAGAACTCCAGTTTTGTCTTGTTTTGCATTGTTTTCTTTCAGGAGAAGGCAGAAACAATCGTTTCCCTTCTGTTATTTATTTATATACTCTTATTTTTATAAATTACTTCGAAGTGTGTGAGCAGGATGGAAAGTTGTGTCGACATAGGTTAAGTTTACCATTTGCATTTGTTTCCTTAACTCCCGTTTCTGATCGCCAGTACCCTATCCTTAGAGTCTTTTGTCAAGCTGCTTTTGCAGAGTCAGTGCAGATCACTGCCACACGAAGCAAGTTCTCCGTGTACAAGGGCATGCTACCCTTCCATACAACCAAGCTGACCCTAGTTTAAAAACAACAACAAATAGTACCGAAGGCACCGGAAGGCAAATAGGGGATCCGAGCTAATTCTATTTCCCCATCCTACGTTTATAACTTGGCACCGAAGAGAAGCAGCAGCATCCACCACAAAGGACCCTCACTATCCATCCTTTCAAACACACATAGGCGGCGTTCACATACACAAATAGTGGTGTTTTAATTTCCCCCAACCCATACATTATTACAAAGAGTCCTTGGTGATAGCAACTTTAAGTAGAAAATCTACCACATACATCGGGAGGAAAGTTCAGTGTGAGCAGATTTACCAGTGTCGAGGACAGCGGGAGTTTTCTTTTTCTTAACTCAGGACGTTATTGCAAAACCATTATTTTCTTAGTTCTTAGACTGGCCAAAGACAGGATCCAGGCAGAAGATACTCCCCTCAAAGGGAGAAACTTGATGGAACTCAGTAATAATAAGGTCCCATGGTGAGTGTGCACTGTAGATCTGTGTGTCAGAGATTATACAATTTGCATAAAAACCTAAATTCCTGCAGCAGACGACATTGTTTCGCTTTTCCTTGAGGTTCTCATTTGACCACAAATTTTCCCCTCTCTCTACTTGATCCCCGTATGTCTATGTAACACATCAAGTGTACCTTCAAAGTTGCCAGTGTTCTTATAGAATACATAAAACTGATTACATAAAAGTGATTAGCAATAGTTTTCCTGAGCACCTGATTGCAGGAGCGACCTCTTGTGTTCAATGGGGGGTTGGACATTCTCCTGTCAAAATTAGACTCCTTTTGACCTCTGTAAGTTTGCAGGTCAAATATGTACCCTTCAGAACAGCAGGGATGTGACTCTGTAGTAGGCGCTCCTGCGTTTTGAAAATAGTGAAGTACAGAAATGATATCTTCAGCCTCCCTACGCCCATAGAAGATTCCAGTGCCTTCCTACAATAGAGATGCTAAGATTTAATAAGTTCCTCTTGAGTCTGTGTTATCTGCCCACATGCCCTGCAACACACTTCCTGGAGTGTGGTTGTTACACCCAAGCTCCCTTGTGGGTTCACTTAAGATGGTTCCTTTGGCTGCTTTAGCTAAAACGGAAACATTCCTCATATTTAAGGCCAGTCACGGATTCCTGAACATTATGAAATCACACAATTTCCCAAAAATCTACATATGCTCTAATTACAACTAGAAAGTAAAAAAAAAATCATCTTTAGAACTTATTTATGGGGCGAAGGGTGGGAGGGTGGTAGAGGGCTTTGATCCATTTTCCTTAAGCCATGAATATGTTCACTTATTTATTCCCAGGAACTGGAATTTGGTTTGAACTAGCAGAACAAGTAGACTGCCATTACTCAATTTAATGAGTAAATATATAGAGATGTAAAAATATAACCAAAGGAAATACATAGCTTCAGAAATACATAATTTAGGGGTCAGAATGGAACATGGACAAGTTTATTTATTCAGCACTGAAAAAGACATAGAATGCATGTGTATGTACCCCATTTCTTTTTACTTTTTTCTGAGTAGTCTGTAATCATGTAGAATGAAGTTATATGAAGCATTGGTATCTTCAATAGTGTCCAAAGATCAGACAAAACAATGTGCTCTTAAAAGGAGTCACGATTAACACTTATGCTCCATGGGGAGCAGGATATGGATGTTTAAAGCAAATTTATTTCTCTTCCAGTTGCCTGTGGCTTATTGGGGGATCTGGGGAGAGACTTCTCTGATTTCACAGGAGGGGAGAGAGAGAGAGAGAGAGAGAGAGAGAGAGAGAGAGAGAGAGAGAGACTGCTCTCCACAGATCATGGGTCGGAAATGATTACCCTTTATCCCTCCGTTTTTATTCTTTTGCTAAGAAGAAAAAGCAATGACAATAAAGGCTGCTGTTAACAGCAGCAAACCTTCACTGTGGTTCCCATCTTATCGCCTAGGACTCCTACTGAGAATGTAGTTGTGTTGAGTGCCAATTACTTTATTAACCTGTTAAAACAATCCGGGTGAATTAGCCAGAAACTTCGTCTCCAGGCAGAGGCTCCTAGCCTGCATTTCAGAGTTCAGGTGATTGTTTCTGTCTTTAGCGTTCCTTGCTCGGGGTTCTTTGCCGGCAGACGCCAGCTCCAAAGGCAGCGATTATGTGCGGTCGGTTGCTCGGTTCTCAGCCGAGATAGAATTGCACATTCCCGGCATCGGGGAAGCCGCAAACCTCAGGTCACTCCTGAACCTTTGCATCCGAAGCTGCTTGCTGTGAAGAGCTGGGTCAAGTGAGGATAGAGATTTGCCACCTCCTTTTGCAAATCAGGTCTCTGGAAGTATTCACTGTTTTCTCAAAATCGGGGGAACAACCCTATTCAAATGAAATCCTCCTCTCCCTTTCCCTCCCCTTCCTAACTACTGAATGATCAAGACAAAGTTTAACTGAGTTCTGCCAGGAACCCTAGTTTGGAACTAGAGATCAGTATACTAAGAGGTTTGGCCCAAGTCAGCCCAGAACCCTACCTTTGACAAAACTTTCACTAAGTGTTTCCTATGTAGGCTAATGGGTGTAGAGGGAGCCTACTCGGCAAAGGGGTTTCCTGGGCTCTGTGGTTGGGCTGCAATCTACCAGATCTGCACACAAAGCTTTCAGATCGCACCCACCTTGCAGCCCCAGTTTTCAGAGAACCCTGGAGCAAGGTAGCCACATCTAGTTGACGATGTTCCTCAAACCCAGCTGATGGTCCTTTGCAGAAAGCTGGGACACTTTTCCCGGTCCGCAGTCTGTCTGAGCCGCAACTCTGAATTTTGAGTCTCCGCGTGGTTTTACCTTACCCCCAGGAGGTTTACTGTGAGAAGCGGGGGAGGGGATACCTCAGAGGTCCCAGAGGCGGAGGAGGAGTCGTCAATTACCTGCCTGGGCCCCCTGAGGGAGTTGGCAAGCTGGAAATCCACCGGCAGCAAGGCAACTCTCCCTGAAGTCTGATTCAGTTCTGGCTATATGGTCTCCTAGGGCTGGAGTTTTCGGGTGGGCTGTCGAGGTGATATCAAGAGTTACTGCTATGTCCAATGAATTAAGCTGTCGGCTAAAGCGTGTTGAGGCGGGTGGCAGAGTTGAGGTTCGTGAATTGGGCTGCTTTCTAAAGGGGTGGGAATCTT